CTCCTCGATGATGTTCCTTCTGTGCCACCATGGAATGAGATGTGTTCCATACACACAAGGAAGTGAAAGAGCCAAGTGCAACCATGGTATCAAGAAAATAAAGAATCCAACACAGAAGAGAAGAGACAGGAAGTCCTGGGATAACAGCTGTGGAGTAGATCTGGGCAGTAACCAGGCTAGCCTGGAACAGGAGCACCAAGGACAGAAGGCAATAATTCCAGTAAATAATTCCAGTAAAATCTGAACTGACGGATCAGCCATTTGAAAGGTTCTACAGCGAGGAAAGTTTGGAGTTGGATACTGGATGAGTCCAGAGAAAATAGAACTAAGAAAATTTTAGTTAATTATTAACTGTAGTGGAAATGAACAATTGCACAAGAAAAGAGATATAAATCATGTGATTCAGCCACAAACAAGATTTATGCGGGCATATTAATATACAAATGAATATATAATACAATTCTGGGAACGAAGGGAGGAAAACAGAATATGAATGAAAGGTCTAAAGAGATAACCCCTTGTCTTCCATACTAAGAGATTAATAGGCAATATATAAAATGAAAAAAAATCAAGAAAAGCGGGAGAAAACTATTCTTTGGAAAAATAGAGGGAATATGAAAAACAGTACTAAAATAATTGAAGGCAGTAACCTCCAAGAAATGGAAATCAGAGTTAGTAGGGGTAAGCAAAGGATGCAATTTTATAAGTAGGAGGCTTGTCTGGGTCAGTCCTAGTTTATCCTTTTTACTTTGGTACAATTTTATTACTGTTTCCCTTTTCACTCTCAAAATTGCCCCAGTTTGGAGATGTTCTTTGACTTTTTAAGCCACATATGTATAATACCTTGATAAAAAGTAAAATAAAGAGAGAGGGACCCTAAATAAAATAACTGTGTCATCAAGCTTGGTGAAAGACTTTGATTTTTTTTTTCCCTAAAATTAATTTGTCAGTTTGTTTATTTATTTATTTATTGGTTTTTTTCGGGTACTGGGAATCGAACTCATGATCTCACACTTGCCAGGCAGGTGCTGTGCCACTGAGCTAAATCCCCAGCCCCTAATTTGTCAGTTTAAAATAAAATTTTTAAAAATTTTGTTTTGTTTGTTTTTTGAGACAGGATCTCTATGTAGCTTAGGCTAGCCTTGAGCTCACTATGTAACCCAGGCTGGCCTTGAATGCATGGTGATACTCCTGCCTCAGTCACCCGAGTGCCAGAATGACAGGCATGTGCCACCACACCTGGATGCAATATATGTATCTGTTTCAAAGCACTTTTTACATTTATTATCTCATTTAATCTTTACAACCGCTTAATAAGGTAGACATCCTATCCAACTTTATAGATATTAGACATGAGGTCCAGAGAGCCCCTGAGACCTCCTAACAAGATGACACAGCCTGAACCAGGCCCCCATATTAGGGTCCCCACACTCCTGTCACAGTATTAAATGCAAAAGCTCTTAAGCCATCTCACAAATGAACAGAATCTGAGATGTAAAATCAAGAACCCAGATGAATTAGCTTAGCTATTAGAAAACAAGGACTAATTCAAATACCATTTTGTCAGCCTGATCTCTAGAAGGACATTCTAATTAGTCTACTCCTGGGGATTGAATATATACCCCAAAATTCATATGTTAAAATGTAAGCCCCCAGGTGACTGTGTGGAGAGGCAGAAGGTTTAAGAGGTGACCACGGATCAATGTCACTATCCCACAGTGAGCCTGTCACCTCTAGAATGGCTGTGTTGTGAAAGAGTTCATGCAAGAGCACTCTCTTGCATGCATTCTCCTGCAGTCTCAGGAGGGTTAAAAACCAGGTGGGAAAGTCCTGAGTTCCCAGGACAAAGGCTGTTGAGTGTAGCTATGTCAGGTGCACTTGAAACAAATACGAAATACTAAGAGTTCTTTATCTTTCCATTTGATCTCAGGATCTTCTTGCTTTTTTTTATGGAAAAAAATAAAACAAAATTTCATAACAAAATAATAGGGGAATAACAATAGTTAATATACTGTGGATTGTAGGTCTTGTAGGTCCAGGCTTGAGTGTCTTTTGGAAATCTATTCAAAACTCTCACTAATGGGTAAGATTCAAAGTCTTCCTCCTGGAGATTCCCCTGACCACCATGGGTTGTTGGAGTTCTGTCTGAATTCCTGTTGTGCTTGCTGCAGGCTAATTTGTTTCAAAACTAATCAAATGCAATGTTGTCTTATATATAATGTGTTGTTTGTCTTGTTTGTGTCTTCCTTCCTCTGACTAAATACTTAATGACTGAATTTTTTTAAAAAAATGAGTTCTTGGGCTAGGGATATAGCTCAGTGGCACAAGCACCTGTCTGGCAAGTGCAAGTTTTTTCTTTTTTTAATAGACTTTTTTTTTGGTAACAGGAATGGAACTCAGGACCTTGAGCTTGCCAGGCAGGCACTTGTGCTGCTGAGCTATATCCCCAGACCTCTTTTTTTATTTTAAAGAAAAAAGAACAAAAACAAATTAGCTAATACAAAGACATAAACAGAACAACAGAAAAACAATAAAAATGATACAGAATTTCAAACAAGGTGATAGGAAATTAACAATGGTTATTGTATTACATATTGTTATCTTCAAATTGGTTACTCAGATAAACAAATACATGCATGTAAGATTGATCAAATAATTAAACACTAACTGTTCCTTTCAATAAAGCAATAGAAATTAGTAGTACATTGTGTGTGTGTATATATATATATTTCCCTCTTTCTTTTCTCTTTTCCCTCGCCCCAGTTGTTCTTTCCTTTTGAGCATTTTCTTTCCCTTTCTCAATATCTATCGTACCTTTCCGATTTTATTTTCTCTTTCAGGTTCTTACACTAGGGAGACAATACGATGTTTACACATGTGAGTCTGATTTATTTCATTTATGAATATGGTCAAAGAGAGTTCTTTAATCCCTCCCCACATTCTAAGATTTTTCTTCTCGTTTGAAACTCTTGACTGGCTGGTTCCATCCTTACATCCCAACTTTCCCTGCTCATTCCTCCTTTAGGTGATTTGACTTTAGGCCGCTCTCTCCTCCCTAGAGCCATTCCTTTGAGGTGAGGGACATTACCTTACAGGTCAAGGTTTGGGTGCTGATATCGCCCAGTAACAACGTTACCGAGACATGCCTAAAGACTATGCAATTTTAGAACCAAGCCTGTTAGAATGAACTCTTTAAAAGCCTCCTCCATTTAGCAGCTTTCTCTGGAAACAAAGCCTAGTTAAGACCAAGGAGCAGATTCCTACCCCTCTTCCTCTGATCCCTTCTCCTTCTCCACGCCTGTACCCCCTAACTCCTCTTCCACTAGCTGGGCACTGAAATGACTCTTTTAGTGCATTTTATTTTATTTTATTTTATTTGGTTTTTCTCCGGTACCGGGAACCGAACTCACATCCTTGCGCGCTTGCCAGGCAGGCGCTTTGCCGCTGAGCTAAATCCCCAGCCCCTTTTAGTTCATTTTAAAGGGGTACCACTCTGAGTCCACATTCTCACAGTCAATTTCTTGCTTTCCTTGCCTGACTTGCTGCAAAATTGAGGACCACACTCTCTCCCTAAAACTTTCGCCCCTACTTTAGTGTAGTTGGTTCTGTGCAGTGGCTATGCAGCTCGTGGGTTTGTTCTTTCCTGATCCAGGGGGCCGGTGCAAGCCAACCTTGTTCAGTTCCTGAATCCAGCTGCCCCTCTCGGGCCGCCCCACGGGCCCCTCCCCCGCAAGACTGGCACTGGAACTGACAGAGTCCCCTCCACCCGGGTTAAACAAGCGCGCAAGCAGGTACTGCACGCTTGCTTGGAGTGCTCATTTTATACAAGCTCCTCTTGTTGGCAGTGCCCCTAAAACACAGAACTTTGCACCTGACATAGCCACACTCAACAACCTTTGTCCTGGGAACTCAGGACTTTCACATCTGGTTTTTAACCCTCCTGAGACGGCAGGGCAGTGAGGAGGGTTGGAAGAGGCAGCCACACATGTCCTAGTTCTAACTCCTCTTTTGTCCAAATTTCCCTCAACACACGTGTGCACAAGCGATATTCTCACGTCAAGGTGGAGAACACAACTGTTTTCTGGGATTCCCCTTCTACCACCTCAAACCAAAGGCACCCCAAATTTTCCCAATTCTCATAAACGCCTCCATTTTTAATGATTTTAAAAAGATAATCAATTGCTCTATTTTTACAAAAAAAAAATAATAATACACAAAGTGACACTGTCCAAAGCCCACTCCTCGGGCAAAATCCATTACTAAACATCTTCTGCGCAGCAGGGGCGAGGAGCAGAGGCCACGGAAGAGGTCACCGCGGGAGGTGCGGGAAGCCCCGCCCC